CGTCGTCAGTTGGAGGAGGCTCATAAACAGCTCGAAGAGTCTCTAAGTCAGGTAAACACCGACGCTACTGATGACAAGGAGTGCGTACCCTCCACCGCAGAGCCTGACGCACCTGCTGCAGAGAGTGCAGTGAGTGCGGAGAGCCTGTGTGGCGATACGACTCCTTCAGGTGAGGTAGAACATCCACAGGATGAGGACAACTTCATTTCTGAACCGAGGGTCAGGAATGAAGAGGTAGAACATCCACAGGATGAGGACATCTTCATTTCTGAACCGAGCGATGACTGCCTCTTCATTCCTGAACCGAGGGTCAGGAATGAAGAGGTAGAACATCCACAGGATGAGGACATCTTCATTCCTGAACCGAGGGTCAGGAGGAGGAGGAACTGGTTCGTCAGGAAGTTTGTATGCAGACGTGCAGAGGAGTAGTTGTGTGGTTCACCCAGCCATCTGTGGAGGGGAGATCTCTCTTAGAATTGCCCCTGCTGAGGTTTCTTCCTTGTTTGGCTGATTGGGAGTTTTTCCTCATCTTCTAAGAGAGCTTGGGCTGGTGAGAAACATTGTTCATGTGGACTAGTGTTCTTGTGCTCTTGTAATATAGCAAGAGTAGTGTATGGCAAATTGACATTGCCATGTCAATTTGCCATACACTACTCTTGCTATATTACACTAATAATAATAATAATAATAATGATGTGAAATCATTATAAAAATAATCATTTCAATAATAATAATGATGTGAAATCATTATAAAAACAATAATTTCAATAATAATAATGTGACATCATTATAAAAATAATAACTTAATAAATTAGCCCACCAAAACAAAGTCTTACACCTGTTTTTTTCCCTTGTGTATATAAATATAAGTCGCATTTCAGTGTATATACTACGAAAGCAGAGAACAGCCATCTTCACAATTATTTTTTAATGTTTTCATTTCAACATCACAAATTAATTATTTTATCATCTCAGGAAAACAAGCTGTGAAATAATAATTTAAAAAAAAAACTGACATAATTAAATGTTGAGAAAACAAAAGGTTATTTTATTTTGTTACCTTGGAATAATTACAAAAAGGTTGTTTCCTCTTAGTAGGCTACTTGTAATGTTTATCAGAGATTATTATTGATCACATTGATCAAGATCAAGAATAAATGAGTTACATCAAACCCTAAAAATACTTCTACAAATATGCAAATCAGCAAGTCAAGGAGGAAATTAGCTACAGAGACCAAAACAGTTTTTTCTACCTGGCTGTAAACAATGTTAAAGCCTGAGGTTCAGTTTTTCAGCTGTCGCCACCTTGGATTTTTAAAGCTTTTAAACCAAAGCAGACAAAGCAAAAAGCACAAATATTTTATCAATAGCCAATTTAATAAAATTAATATTTTATCAATAGACAGTTTAAAAAATGGCACTTTATTAATGATTAATGATTTTAAAAATGTTGCTCAATATCAGAGATTTCTTTCCTTGCAAACTGTAAAAATTAATTCTGCTATCCCCTGCCTCCTAAAATATTCTGCTATTTTTAATTTGAGGAAACAGTCTTGAGGGTGTTGCGGTTTTGAATTTACTAAAATTAGTTTTTCTTGCCTCATATTGTTTACACAACAGATCAGTATGTTGGCAGTCTCTTCTAAGAAATCCACCTTAACCCACAGCAGTTACGTAGCAGTTTATTTTGTAACGTCAATTTTAATCTCCTCCCTAAACCATTTAAAACACATCTGTTCTTCTTGTCATCAGTCTCCTCCTTTTCCCTTGTCTCTTTAAACCGCCAGAGATTAAGTTAAGTATCCGATGAGGTTATACAACACAGTGAAGCAGCATTTGTTGTCAAATCAGTGTTTTTACAGATGTACCAAGCAGCCCAGGTGCTCGTAATTCATTTCGCTGTGACTGCCAGGCATAACCAGTTTTGTCTTTTGACAGCTATGGGGGCAGTCCATATGTTGGTGAAATTTCTGGAGCTGTGACTGTGGCAGCAGTGTTTGACATAGAGGTGCAGCTCATGATGAAAGATCACAGGGCTGCCGTCAGCTTGGAGCCGAACCAAATCAGTCATCTTAGGCAGCGAGCCAAAGGGAGTGAGACAGAGAACTGATTTAAAAGGCAATTATTTACTGAAGTCATGATTAAGTTTCCATATGTCAAGTTTGGACAGAACATTTCTTTAGTTTCTTGGGTTTAGTCCACTTTCCCTTTGTAACTCAGACACATCATGAGCCTGGTCGAGGTTTTCACTTTCATCTGCACCATTTATAAGCTATTTAAGTCATTTAAATTTGTCTCAAAGGGCCTTTACAGTCTGTACACACCCTTTGTCTCCTTTATTGTTTTAATGTAGTTTAGTGAGAGAGAAACGAAATGACAGGTAGTTCCCATGATGGTGTCACCATGGGAGAAGCTGTTGTTGTTGCTTATTGTGAAGTCATTATGCAGACAGGATCACGTTGCATGTTAAGTATTCCTGGGAGTGGCAGGCGAGCCGTGCCCGCGGGCGAACCCGCTTGCTTGCAGAGGGATGTGATCCACAGCGATCCTGACGTGGCAGCATGTTCGTATCGCTGTAACACAAGCCATGTGCTAATACTCATCACATCAAGGCTGGCACCTGAGAATAGACAGTTGTTCATTAGGGAGCTGAACTGCAGTGTCGATCACTGAGAGCAGACTTATGTGAAGTGATGTGAGGTTTTACAAAAGGAAGGGTTTGACTACGGCATGGCTGTTTGGATGGCAATGTTGGTTAGTCGGTCTGTTGGTCCACCACTTCGGTCCAAACTGAAAGGTCTCAACAACTACTTGATGGCTTGTTATTAAATCTTGTGCAGACGTTCATGGTCCTTAGAGGAAGAACCCTAAAATATCTGATGATTCTCTGATGTTTCTTTAGCGACAGCACAAGGTTGACATTTGTGGTTTTGAGTGAAATACCTGAACAAACTATTACATGGATTGCTAGGATGACTCGTACTAATTGTGGTGCAGGCTTGTGAATACACAGTCACGAATGCTAAACAAAAAGGTTAAACACACAAATTACTAGGGCTGCCCTCTAACAGTCGAACCAAACCTTAGTCAACCAAAAAGGTCATTTATTGGCAAGATTTCATTGGTCGCTTAGTTGCAGAAAACAAACAAACGTGAAACTCTACTCGGAGCTGCGCCTTGTCAAAATAAATCCAAACCTATATGACTGGACCATGTGGGAATTTAATTTGAAAGGACAGACACAGGAAGTGGCCACGCTCAGCAGTCAGACAGGAGTCGGGTTAATTTCCAGAGCTGGTACCTGCGGTTATTCCACAGGCTAGTTAATAACATGTCGGGCAGGAAATCCAAAGTGTGGGATCATTTTGAGAAGGTGAAGGATGAACCCAAGGTGATATGTAAACTCATCTTCATTGGTCGACTACAAACATGACGTATCATCTGAAACATGGAAGTAGCTACATGCCCATTAGCCCACAGCGTCATTAACAGGCGGCTCGCTCAGTGTGTGACGTGCACTTGTAGATAAAATATAGGCCTATATTAATGAAGCTTCATTAGTACGGTTTTGTATTTCTCTGTAATGTAGCACAGTGTTAACAATGTTACTGATACTATTCTTTCTCACGCCTTCAACTCAAACCATTGTTTTTCGCCCAAAATAATTAAATTAATATCGTAAACACGCAGGTGACTTGTCGACTAATGGCCCTAAATGACATCTATTGGTTGACGAGGAAAATTCTTAGTCTTGGGACGCCCTACAAATTACTATGCATCAGATTGTTTTTCCAGGGACAGACTGACATGACTCTTTCTGGATTTAGGTTGAGTCATCTGGCAATAAAGTAGACTGACATAACAGATGTAGGCTTCATCTCACTGTAGGCTTAACCTCTGGGTCACCCATTATCAGATTCTGTATTTTTTATCACTAAAAGTTGAAGGACTGTAAATGTTATTTTGTTTTCCTTTGAGAGGCAGGTGCAAACGTTCCACCAAAACAAGTTTCCTTCGACACTATTTCCCAAAAGCACCATTGTTGTATCCTGGGCTTAGTACCGTGCAAGACGACTGTGATCGGTTCATATAAACAGTAATAAGCCAGAGCGATGAAAGTCAAGAGCGCAAAAGCCAGTACCCTGAAGTACACTGCACAAAACACTGACGAGCAAAAAAACAAAAAAAAAGACAACTGCTCGACTTGAGGCAATCTCAGTCAACTGAGTAGTCTTCAACTGACGATTCAAATCTCAAGGGGCAGCCCTAGCGTACTGCACTATGCTTCCTAGTGTCCTCAAGTCAAAGGATTAACAAGATGTGACAGGTTACAATAAGGTCCCATTACTCGTAAGTAGGGTTGGGTATCGTTTGAATTTTAGCGATTCTGATTCCGATTCCGATTCTGCTTTCCGATTCCGGTTCCTAATGATTCTCAATTCCGATTCTTTGAGGGGCGGGGTCATAAAATGTCAAATGCTTATTTCACACAATTTTTTTTTTTTTTTTAAATACACCTTTCCACAAATTGACTCACATTCAGTCAGTCATTCACATTCTGCAGGGAACTAGCAGGTATAAAAAAACAGAACAGAAACAGTTCAAGAAAATAAGCATATCTCAAGCCTTCTCAGGCAGTATATGTGAACGTCCAGCAGATTATGTTTCCCGCATTAAAGAAAACTTATTCACCCGGTGTAAAGGAGGCCTGCATGGAACAAGCAGGTATAAAAACTCCCCACATTAACAGTTTTTGTTCAGAAAAATAAGCATATCTCAAGCCTTCTCAGGCAGTATACGTGAACGTTCAGCACAGATTGTGTTTCCCGCAGTGGAGAAAACTCGTTCACTTGGTGTAGAGGAGGCCTGTACACATAAAAATGAAAAGGCCATGTCTGACAAACAAGGATACGTCGTTCGCATGTTCCACCACCAAGCAGCAGGGTCATCAGATGTAACCATGGGTGGCATATCCTTGTACATCTACAACTCCTTCTCAACTCTGTCCTGGATGGATGTGGAGGTCTGCAGTGATGTCATCTTTACAGCATCTTCGTCAGCAAAAAGCTCCTCCAGTGGAGTCATCCTCACAGTTTTGCGGGGAGGTGGCTGCAAAACAAATAACAAACAAGCTTATCACAAAAAAGTTCAAGCATCCATATATAATAATTAAGATTCAGAATCTATCAAATATAATTTCTGCTATCATATGCTTACATGCTCCTCTTCCTCACTCTCCACTCCTTCCTTGTCGCCCTGGCTCCTCTCACCATCTCCTCCACAATCATGCACTGTTAACTACAGACAACATTTGGCATTTAGATAAAACATTGTAATGACTGAGGAGAGACAGTGTTTGTGCATGAATGACATTTCACCTGTTCAGTGTCGGTTAACTTTCCAGCCGCTAAGGTGAAGGGAGTTTCACGTTGTGGGACCAGCTTGTTAGCTTGAGCAGTAACGTTAGGCCGTAAAGTCTGCGACTGCGAGCTTTCATCTACAAAAACACATTTGATGCGGTTGCTTATTAAATTTAGAAACTAAACAAACGTTATTTAAATCTTCAATAAAAGTTCACTGAACTTACCCGACTGCGAGGGCTCCGGCGAGGAGGTGCTGGCTGTTGGCTGCCGGGCTGACGGAGGAGGACGAGGCTTGTGAGGAGGAGGGAGGCCGGCACAGCATGTCAAACACGGTACATTCTTTTATTTGTATACTGTGCTGCTGGCGAAGATGTTTTGCCATATTCGTGGTGCATCCTCCATTGCACAAAATACGTTTGTCACAAGTGTTGCACTCTGCCGAACAGTCATCCGTTTTGACAAAATGAAGCCACACTTTAGAGCGCCTGCTGCACTCCATGATGGCGAACAACTTACGTTATACAGGTTCGTATCTTGTTATCAACAAAGAAAATATCCGTGTGCAGTCCAAACAGAACGGCGTGCCGCGAGAAGCTGGAGGTAGACGCAGCTGCACATGCGTTTTTAACAGAAACGAGTGTGTGCGGCGAGGGACAACTTTTAGGAATCGAAAAGCAGAACCGAAATTAAAATTTCTTAATGATTCAGGTGGAACGGAAAATTCGGAACCGGTTCTAATTTGGAACCGGTTCTCGGGACCCAACCCTACTCATAAGAACTGCATCCCATAACATGTGGTGACTAACCCGTCGCGCTCGTAGTAAACAAGATTAATAAGAAATGTCAAAACCCCACATGACCTCTACAGTCAAGTGTAACACAATTACCACTTCTTCTCTCCTCCAGTTGTATCTGTTTTGTATTCACAGAAATTATGTGTATAGACTTAAAGTGTATTAATGTGAGTAAGTATAAAGGTCTGTCCATTTTCCACATAGGAACGGATCGAAAAATACTTGAAATCCAGTCTAAAAGCAGAGCTGCATTTACAAATGAAAAAAAAAATTCCCAAGTTGCTCGGGGTGTTTGTCTTCTCTTAAACGTGTGTGGCCATTTTAATGGCTGTAGCAGCATTTTAACACCCTCATTCAGCCCAGAGCAGCTCTAAAACAGATGAGCACAGCTTCCACATTTTGCTGCCACCTGTTTTAGTGCACAACACTGCAGATTGGGTCTGTTTGTAACCAGTTCTTTGGATTGACTTTACTTTTTGTTAGAGAATTAAAACCTTGCACTTCACTATCGGCTCACTGGGCTGCATGCAGATGCATCTAAAGGTGTCAGCGTGTAGGTGCTGCTTTGTGGTATTTTTGAGGTGAGTCAGTGCTGGCAATAGAACAAAACTTAAGGAGGAAATTAGACACAAACTCGCATGTATACATCCGTCCGTGTTTGTGGCATTAACAACAATGTATTTAAAACATTTCAAACAGGTATTGGCACTCTGGCAAGGCAGCACATTGCATGTCTTTCACTTTTCCCCTGTCTTATTTGTATTCTGACTCGAAATATTGGAGCCAAATGACTGCAGTAAAATGTCTTTACACAAGAAAACCTTTAAGAACGGGCTCCTAGTGGAATTGATGCATTGATTAAGAGGTTAATGATTTAAAAAAAAGAATAAAATACGTGCCAAAATATCAATATAGTTCAGTATTTTTATGCCCATATCATCAGCACGAGCTTGAAGAAAATCTGATTGCTTGAAATGTGTTGAGCTCGTCTGAATCGTATCTTCTTTGGAAGCTGATCCACATTTATTGATCTCTGTGATGTGTGAGCTTTACTTCAATAAATCTGGTCCTTACGATTCAGGGAGCTCTTCTTATCCATCTCTTCATATACTTGCTGTTGTATAAGTGTAATGGAATAAAGTATAGTGTTAAAGTCAGGAGGATTTGGCCGTTCCACTGAATAATTTTGCTAAAAGTCTGATTTTATAGCTCACATGAGGTTCTTGCTATAAAACAGGGGTCTTGTTTTTCTCATAATCTCCATTTGTGCAGAGGCGGTTTGCTGAGCAGCCAGACTGCTGCAGTATCTCACCTGGTGGAGCAGGAGACTCTGACAGGTTTTGATCCTAAAAATAGGTTTTTGTCTCACCGAGAAGCTTCACGCAAATTTAGTTCTTGTTTAGTAACTTCCTGCCTCACACCTAAACATTTTCACGCCTGCTCTAAATCACCGGGGAAGTTGCACAGTCCTCTGAACAAACGCAGCTGGAGCAGGTGCGAGTTGAGAATTTAGCTTTAGGCCGTTATGATGGTAGTTAAACGGGAGGTAACGGCAGCCATCCCATGGGAGGATAAAAAACTGTATGACCTAAATACTCTCACAATCTAAATCTCTTTAATGTGAGCAGCTAACACGTGGAAACAACACCAGCTCCTTCTGAGCATTTTGGCTTCCTGAGAATTCTACTTTCCTATATTTGTACAGTAAAACAGTTTCTACTGGTGCACCACACACATTAATCTTCTGTTCTCGACTTACAGCTCAGTCACAAGAAGAAAATGTTGGCATTGTACGTTTCTGCAAACCCCTATATGTCATGTTTAAAGTCGACCAATGAAGATGAGTTTACATATCACCTTGATAGACTAACGTTTGGTCGACTATTAGGAGGCAGCCCTACCTTGGTGAGATGCCTGCCAAGCTGCAGACCACTGTTTGAGACAAACATACAACTAAACAGTTTGTGATTTAGTGAGTCATCCCTGTTTTCAGTAGTTTTTTGGCGCAAAACTTGTGTTTTGTAGCGCCCTGTCACTGTGTTTCCAGCTGCTTTTTAGGCTTTAAAAGTGGTTGATTTCTACAAAGTCATTGCTGCATTTTCTGTCGAGATAGTGGCGCGAAAAGCAGTTGATATTTTACAGTCATCACTGCCTTTCCTGCTGGGATAGTGGTCCAATAAAGGGGTTGTTTTTACCAAGTCATAGCTGTATTTCCTGCCGTGGTTGTGACCCATAAAGGCCAAAACATGATCTTTTTCTGACTATAACCAAATGGGTTAGGACTGAAGACCTGGTGCAATAATCTCTGCATACAGTTATAGTCGCATACCAACAATAATTGCTCAAAATGCCTCTATAATTCATCCAAATCATCTTCCATCTTCACTGGATCTATGTGTCTGCCATGACTTCTGATAAACTAAACCAAAGTTAGACTTCTAACACTTCTAAGAAGTATGAGTACTGGATAATTCAGACAGATGCTGCAATCCTCTCCGTTTTATAGCCATTTATTGCCGTTATAAAATTATTTTTATTTAGGACCATAACAGAATGTTTATGCTTGTTAATTTCATTGCTATTTCATACTCCATTTATTCTCTCCATTACATTTTAATGTGATGGTGTGCCAAGTTAGTCAATTTGCCCTGCTTTCTCAATGAATAAACAGGTATAAACAGTCACTGGTGTCTCTTCATCATATTTTGAAATTCCTGGTTAACAAATGGTCCTCACTTAACAACCCCCGCCCACATCCTCACAGCTGTTGTAGAGATTTATCCAGAGTGATAGTGTACTCACAGGCCTTTATCTCATCTTTAGGCTGTTAATGCCCCATTACAACAATAACACTCAACATAAAAGGGGACCTATTATAATTTGCCTTTTTTTGTTGGTGTTATATTTATAATAATAAAATATAATATTCATATTGGTTTTAAATAATATGGTAAACATATGTAAAATTACTCCCTGTGAGCAAAAACCTGAGGCTTCAGACTGTTTTGAATGCCCTGTTTCCATGTTTTTTTTCCAACTGTTTGAGACAAACTATACTGCAAGTATTCAAAGTACATACTCTGCTACATGTAGCTACGTGCTAACATCAGGATAGCATGTAATCTTGGTTTCTGATGTTGTTGATTTCTCTCTGATTTCGGATCATATTCCTCTTGAAACATGTCCATTTGGGAAGATTTGAGTCAGTAGAGGACCATACAAGATGTATTTTTGGAAGGACTTGGTCTGTTGTTTTGTTTTTCTTTTTCGTATTTTCGATAAACTGGCCTAACTTTTTTCCCTGCCTTGTGTGAGTACTGTGGCTCTCCAGAATAGGAAGATCCCAGGGTGTGTGTGTGTGTGTGTGTGTGTGTGGAGTTTACATGATTTCCCAGTGTCAGGGTTTTCTCTGGGTACTCCAGCTTCCTCCCACAGTCCAAAGACATGCAGGTGTGAATGTGATCGTCAATGGTTGTCTGTCGCTTAGCTCCATTTTCTTTTTTTTGCTCCATGTTTGAAAATATGTAGGCTGGATTCTGGTCCTTGTTTGATTTTCTGGTGTCTTGTAAGCCCATGCCTGTAACTGTTTGTATTACACAATAATAAATCATTCAGTCATTGCATTCTGTATTGGCCAGTCAACAAACCCAGGATCTGGGAAAAACATTAATCGTTGCTTTACTCAGTTACTTGTTCCTGGTTACACACACATATGTACAGTAGACTTGTATCATTCCAACATTAGCGCGCTGGCTGTGACTTTTCTTGTGCTGTAGGTCACCATGTTGCTCTGCCATGGCCGTGAGCTAGCATGTATCTGCATCAAAACATGCCCCATAGTTGAGGGTGGCGTGCTAAAGGTGCCGTGTTTACCTACATGGCTGTGTAGCCTCAGAAAAAGTCTGTCATTCCACATCAGATCACGGCAGCTTAGTCATACCTTTATATATGTAGCCTTGTTTACTCTGCAGCCGTTTTAATGAGAGTTTTAAGGGGTAAACTGTACGTTCTCTGTCGTCTGTTTTAGCAACACGATTAGACATGGAGTATTTCTGTCACAACCTATTGGTTTGTGGCTTTAAATCTACATCCTGTGCTACTTACTTAGACTTTATTTTGGACTTTTATGAAATAATTTATGCTTTAAATTCCTCCTGAATGTGTTGCTACAGCCTTTTTTCTTCAGTCTGGCAGCAGAACAAAGAAGACAGAGACAAGATTACACAAACTCCAT